AATAAAATGTATAATCGTCTTTTGAAATTGACTCTAGTAAAGCTATTGGTGTGGTGTGAATTAATTTTTTTGTAAGACTTGTCGAATGCTTCTATTTCTGTCATTCTACTTTAAGAGGTTCTTTAATTTCTTCATCTGTTTTTGATAGTTCAAATCTGTTTCTGTAATATATTTTTCAATAACGATAATAAATTTGTATCATCCAAAAATATATCTGGTATCGGCGGTGTGTGTGATTTTCCATTTAGAATCTCTGGGCTAGCAGAAGAAAATATGTATTCTATGTTAGATTTTTCAGATCGGAAAAATCCAAAATAGGCCATTTCTGTTTACGATATGCAAAAAATTATCGATAGTGATAATATTTTCTCACATTATGAAGATGAAATTTAATTTAAGTTTTTATAAAAATGTCAATCAAATTTTCGCAATTTGAATCAAATATATTCGTGAAGATCGTCTTCTTTTTGAAAGAAGTCATTACGGACAAATAGTCATTTGTAGCTGGTTTTTAATGATTCCATAATATTGAAAAGCATAACGATAAAGATAATAAATAAGTCTTGCATTTTAAGTACAGTCCGAATCTATATGAAAAACTTAAATTAAAAAACAAAAAAGCATCATCTCCTCCCGTTTATAGACTCCGACATGATCGTGCAGACATGCTTTTCTGCAAAGATGTTATCAATTCGCATTTTCTTTTTAATTTTTGCGCATTCTTTGTCGACATTCTAGACCATTGAGACTTGTAAACATGTTCAGATTACAATGCTGTACTCTTTGTCACGAAAATAAATGCTGTGATGAAAGTTTAAATATCGTACTCAATTTGTGGCAGTACATGACAATCGTAACTACAATCATGAGCGTTCGAAATTATATTTCAAATTTTTCCGAGTTCACTTTTATAAAAATGCTGCGTTTTATATATCTATGATTTCATTAACGGTAAAAGATTTTCATAGATCTACATAGTCACTCTGGCTACACAAAAATTTATTATTGCAATTTTAGCATTGGTTAAAATTTATAACTGCAAAGGTTTTGGTGTGACGAATTATTAATTCCTATTAAAAATTTGGGGGGTAAAATTTTTCATCATCTGATCCCATTTTTCATTTAATGAAAAGTGCCTCGTATTTAAAATTTAATGCTTTGCTTTTAAAGAAAAAATTGCACAATTGGTAACTTTATGCACAGCTACACAGCTACAGTTTCAATAAATTCATCCATCCTTTACTTGCTAAATTTATAATGTACACGTAATTTAATTATGTTCCACCGTGCGACCCTTTTCTTTTGTTTTTATACGTATACGTCACATGATTGGAAAGACGAGTTTCAGTTTATTATGTATTTACTAGAACAAGGAATTTATATGGAGTAACAAGGAACAAATAAAAAAATAAACTTTTTTCTTTGTTCATAAAAATTCCTTTATTTGACTTTTCTCGTCACCCGCATATTTTAATCCTAAATCATGTGATCACAGTTTTTGTTGCGATATTTTGTCTAGTTAAACAATTAATGGATACATGGACAGATGACTAGATGTTGAGTTTTCTACGTGAAGACGTATTATTAAACACATCAATTTACATCAATGAACAAACAAACTTATTTAGACTATTGATCCCGGGCTTTGAAGGACGATGACGAAAACAAAGCCACATTTCTTCCAGAATGCATGTACGGAAAGAAAACAACAATTGAGCCAAGGAAAATGATAAAAAGCCTCAAAATATACATTTTATAAATGTAAATTGTGATTAATGATAATTGATGTTCCTTAATGATGATTGTATTTACATGTATCTAGCTGGCACAAAGAGATCTGTTGTATTTTTTGGTTGATTTGTTTGTATTAAAGAAAAAGTAGGGGTTTTGGGGGAGATGACATCCATTTTCTATATACCCTTTACACAATACTTCCTGAATTTCGCTACAACTTTCAATGCTGAATATAATCAATCTTTCGATCAATCATTGGTGTATTTGAAAAATGAGCGAATTATGTGTACACGTGTGGACAGTGATGCAGATCTTAATCAACAGCGCCAGAATAAAAATCTTGTATATTTCATAAGATTGTCGTCATTATCCAAAAATTCTCGATGCTGTGCATTGATAAGCGTGGATAAATGTCTTGTATACTCCGGAATCAAAATTTTTTTTTTATTTTTGAGAATAGGCATGCGAGTGAAGATTAGGCAAGTGAACGAGACAAACAAACAACTTCATGAGTTCATGCATACTTTAGCCATGACACACACACACATAAACCAAAATAATCACAATGAAAAAATCGATTGTGAAAAAAGTATGCACTGAATGCGACCTTTAAAAACTTTTTCTTTGCCCCCTGCGTATTTTATCTATTCGAGCAAGAGTAAAAATAGGATTTTCGCGAGGAAATTTCATGCACGCACATAAAAAAACTATAAAAACTAAAAATTATGCATACGTGCGCACACACACCCAAAAAGGTGAATCAACCAAGAATGTAAACTAGATTATTCCTTATTCCTTGGTTTCTTTCTCAATAACCATTTCATTATTTCATATGACATCAAATTCGTCATAGTTGTATCCTTTCATCGATTATTTCGTTTTTCTTTCTCTTCTCTCGATATTTCAGCATATAAACTCGGCGAGATACAGTAACATCCTGCACGTAGACATAAAGAGGATAAAGTTGTCTTTGTGTGTGTCTCTGTATCATTGTGTAATTTGTGGATCAATTCACTGATCACAACGAATATGGTGACATTTTATTCGACAAAGAAACTTAAATACAAATTGACGGGCCAAGATGCAAACTTTTTTTTTATTTGACCAGAAGGAGAGAAAAATTGCGGATCAAGTAAAAATACTACGCAATGATAATGCTCCCTGCATGAGATACTTGAACATGTTATACTTGCTTCACTTAATTCATGCGGATACCGATTAAAGAAAAGCTTTCACTATTGGTTAATAAATTTTGCATGCACATAATAGAAACTCCGAATATGGAATATGACGATTACCGTCGTCGCTTTTAATCCAATCCACGTTGTCACTCCTCTGCATGATATACGAATATCACTAATTCCTAATTCGGCCATCTTAATATAAAAAAATTATAAATACTGTATATAAATTATAGAACAAATAGGGGAAACAACGAAACACTTCACCCTCTCATACGTTTATGTACAGCCTGTATGTACTGTACATACAGATACATACTAATACATATAATTATAATATCGATATAATTTATTCGTACTTTAATATATAACAAAAACATGCTATTATTATATTATTACATGTATTATCATTCTTATTATTTAAAAATGTTATAATGGTAGTATTATATATATAAATAGTACACAAAATTTGATATAAAAGCTCACCATTTCACTGAACCTTTTCTCAGTTTCTTCTCTCAATTTTTTTTTTATCACAATAAATCAGCAAAAAAATAAACTCAAAATAAAAACACGAAATTTTTTTTTCATTCTTGTTTTTATTAATAGCATTATTGACAAAAAGGTAGACACACAAATTACGTAAACAGCATATTAAAATACCTAAACCATAAAAATGTCTTCAACAAGCGGATTTATCGTCAACAGCTCTGGCTTTGGTCCAAGCGACAGCATCGATATCAACAAGAACAATAACTCCTCAGATACGGAATCAGTTTCCTCTACCGCGTCCACACCAACAAACTGCTCGTTCACATTTCTCCCAGGAATGATAGAAATACCACGACCGGAAGCTTTTTGTTTGCCACCTACTTTTGCGCTTGATATTGAGATTCCACATTTTGCGCTCAGACGTCGAAATGCAGTTGTTGAAGCGGTGTTGGAAAGTCCGCTCATTTTCTAAAAAAAAATAATAAATTTGTTTTTCTTCCTTTTTTTTTTTCCCTTAGACGTAAATAGTTTTTTTATATATTTTTTTGTTATATTGTTGGTAAGTAAATTGTAATCCTTTAGTACAATATTTTAGTGGTATTTTTTTTTTCATAGAATTACTTTTTCACTTACAACTATCTTTTCTTATACATACATACATCAAATAAATAAATACATACATAGATATTATACTTTTCATTCGTCCCATTCTATCTATCAATTATTCATTCACTCATTCTATTCGTTTATTGATTAATTCAAAAAAAAATGAACATTTTTTTATAAACAAAAATAAATACATTCACTTTTTTTACATTTTCATCCATTTAACGCACTTTTCACCTGTTAAATATTTTTCGCCCTCTTTCATCCCCCCGCCCCTTTACTATCATATTATTATCATCATTCATTCTTGTTGGTTCCTTTTTCGTTTCAAAGAAAAAAGAGCAACAACAACAAACACCCAAAAAATATATCATAAATAACAATGTATTTCTATCTTTTATTCATTCATTTTTATGCATTCATCTCATAACAATATTTTCCCCACAATTTACCTCATCTCTTAGTATTTTTGTTATCAATAACATCACTAGCTATCTACCAGCAGCTTTCCATATTCACATTCTCTTATTTTGAATATAAAAATATAAAACAACAAAAAAAAATCATCAGGCAAACCATTAAATTAAACTTTAATCTGGTGTATTAAAGTTAATGTTAACGTCAATCTAGCAGAGAAAACATGTACTTTTAAATATCACGTGAGTCACGTAATAAATAAACATTGATTTGTTTTCATTTGCAAAATAACTTTTACCGCTACCTGTTTGTTTCTTTGGTTACTTTCTTGTATCAAATGTAAACTCGTTCATAACTTGATTGAATCCATTTTGCTGGTGTTGTCTAGCAACCGCGATAGGTGCCGTTAGTGTTAATGATCTCACATTCATGATAGAAATGGGAATGGACAAACCGTTTCAGATGTAACATTAAATATGTGTATGTGCATAATCACCCAGTTGGATTTTGATACGAAAACTCATTAATGCACGATTAGTTTTATTTATACTGTATGTCAAAACAAATAGACCGACCGAGTTCCAATTAAGATCTATCGATAATCGAAATTTAATATGCATCTTTTAAGCGTCCATTACCGCCGCAAATGTAATAAATGCATTGTTTTTTCCCGCGAGAAAGTAATACAAACTGCATCGATAAATGCTTTACATAATTAATCAATTTGGTAGAAGCCATAGGTTATCGAGACAATCTACGTACGCATGTATAGACCCCGGTAATCTAGAAATCACAAGCAATGAATGTTGCATCGTCGACGCCTGCATCGAAAGCAACTAAAGCTGGCATTGGCGTAAATGCGATTGCTTTTTCAAAAAATTGTTTCTGACAAAGCATTAATTGAACCGCAGCTTAAGGCTGTTACAAATGTCTCACCTTTGGTTTTTATATTATCGATATACAGTACTTACGTAATCTGGGCAGTGCAAATCGCGCGCAACTATTTTTTATCGAAGGTAAATTTTATTAAAATTGAATCATGGTGACCAGATGTGATCATGTCTCATCTGATCAAGCACTCGATTGAAAATGATTGTTACCAGCAAAACGAATAAGCATTTTGATTTATATCATAAAGTCATGACAAATACAAGAATAACTGTTAATAATTATTAGTAATCTCTAATACATAATTAATGATCTAGAAAACTTAAAGTTTAACTGAGCTCTCCAATTAATCTAGATTTGCTTGATTGAACAATGGAGGAATCCGACGCATAATACTTTGTTCATCACCAGCAACATGCCCAATACCACAAAAATCAAGACGTCGTTTCTTGGGTCGTCATATTTGATTTTAAAAGCTTGCGTTTCTTGTTCATTAAACACATAATGAGATTGTGTTGTAATTGAAGTATTTGGTATTTTGTCTATTAAATTGTGCAAACAGTATTCAAGCGTTCCCTCAATGGGTGATGTGTGAAGAATGATGGATACGCTTTTGCGACTATTGCGGTTACTTTTATAATCAAAGTGCATGTTTTGATTGCTTACCTTTGTTTGATCCTAGACATGCAATTTTTATCTCATTATCGTTCATCATGTTTTTCTTTACATTTATGGTAAAATATTACGGGATTAATTATATTCATGATTTTTGTGAACAAATCCCCACATCCCGACTGTTCAAGATCCCAACATTCAAAATCCCGATAATTCAAAGTTCCCGAATGATTCAAAATTCCGATATGTAAAGGATCCCGACAGTTTTGAACTATTAATTAAATAGCTAATATAACGTCACCTGTAAAAAATGGTAGCCGAATAGATTTTCCGTGAATTCAATATTGATTTTACATATTTAAGGTTAGGATCAAGTTTAGGATTAGAGATAATACTATACGTTAAGTTTTCTTCACGATATTTTGATTAGTACTCCAAGTTATCTGTTTCCCGTCTTTTTAACGTGTTTTTGACCTATCTGATTAGTAAAATTCGCTAATACATGTATACAATTTATACATCTGTGATTTTCTTGATTCCAGACTTCGAGTTGTAAGGTTGGAAATCTTAAAGCATTGGAATTTTGTGTTGGGATGTCGGAATTTTGGATTTTAGGATATCGGGAGAGAGAGAAGAAAGAGTTGGGTTTATTATATTGCCATTGTCCACATTTTGTTATGCACAAATACAATTTACGTACTCTCGTACTTTCTGTTACCTTTTTGAAAAATAAAAGTTTACTATATCAAATAAAATAAAAACTTTGCAATGTGTATTGAATTCTTGAATGGTTATGTCGTTTAAGAAAGTGTGTTGTCCCGCATCATGGGAAAAATCACGTTTCGAATCAACAGCGTTAACATAAAAATCCTTAATTTCCTATTTTTACATGAAATTCATTACTATGTTTATTTAACTAATTCGTGTTTCTTAAGCAATCATATTAATATTGTCTAATATCTCTCAGTGTTTATGGAACACCTTAAAAATCATTTAATTATTGTATAATTAAAAACAAAGCATGTAAAGAAACATTTAGACATTAATTTAGATGTTTATAAGCATAGCGAACATTAGTAACGACGCTCACCATAAATTAGTTGTAAAATTATTGTAAAGACTAATCTATATATAAAGACAAGTTCTTGACCTTCAGACAAAGAAATATTCTAATCAAAGAATTAAAAATTTCTTACCTGTAATAATTCGAATACATCATTATTATTGATTATCTTCAAAGCCTGCGTAATTATTTCTTTGTTGATAAGTTCAACCCTTTTTTTGATTTTGATATTATTATCGGCAATGAGCAGAAATTACTCGTACTTTCTTTGATTTAATATTTTGCTAGTAGTGAACAGATCTTATCAAAATTTCCATTGAAAACGCTACCTAAATCCCGTTCGGTTCTTCCATATAGTAATTTCGTAAAAGCTACCATCGGAAACCCTTTAGATTTTAAAAACACTGATATTAGTTCTTGTCATAACAAATAATGTAGGTTCAAGTAAAAATAACGAAATTGTGGTGCTAAATACAATTTAATTAATGATAATTCTTTTTTTAATAAATATTGCTTATCCCGAAAATTTAACCGTTGTTTTCACTCGGTTTACTAATTTCGTATTATTATGGGAGAGGGAATAAAAAGGAGCGAAAAAGAATGGCTAGAATTACAAATAATATAGAGTTTATATTATGAACCAAATTTTATCTACTACTGAATTAACAATACTCAATGTGCAGTTAAAACTTTTTGACTATGACATTAAAGCATGACAGTTACTTAATAATCAACATTCCCATCTAAATTAAAGCAAAGAGAAGAATTATTAAATAAAACAACGTAACTGAACAGGAACTAGAAAAAGCCGGGATAAAAATAGAGTTCAAAGAAACGAGAGAGTCTGGAAAAATTAAAAACAATTTAAAGTAAGAAGAAACTGGAAGAAAAATAAAATTTAAAGAATATGATTTAAAATCCATATTTAACTTATATTTCAGAAATTTTCGTGCTGCAAAGACGAATTTCCACAATATACGTACTTATAAGTATCGGACAAATGTAATAAAATGTAATATATTGAGAGCTTGGGATTTTAAGTATTCAGGACTTAATGATTTCGGGCGATCGAGATTTGGGATTTCGTTTGTCAGGTCAGGTTTTATGGCGCAGTTTAAAATCCGTTTATTTTTAGTTTTTTAACTTGTTAAAACTTAATATTGTTTATATAGCTTTTTAAAATTGTACCACAAAGATGATGATTTAATTCAAGCTATTTTTGAAGGATCTTATGCTTGCCGACAAATATTATATTATATGCCTTTTAAGTGGACTACTGATTTAGAGATTCCTGAATGGGTGTTTGTGATAACTGTGCTCGACGCGCAATTGATGCTGTAATGCAAGTTAATATTCGTGATGACTTGCTAAAATTACTCAAAATGGTAGAGCAATTGTTGGACCTAATTCAAGAAAAAAAATTAATGAGCTTTGGAAGAGAGGAAATAGTAGATGTATTTTTGAAATCAAACAACAAAAATATAAAAGATAAAAATTTGGCTACATTATGGAATAATGAAATAACATATAGATCATTAATTTCAACTCGAGAAGCCTGTTTTCATAAAAGGATTGATAAAACAAGTGTGATGATTAATCTCTTCGTCAAGGTTCTTCCATTTAGTTCACTCATGTAATATAATTGCAATTACAGAGTGAGCGCAAGAACAAGTAATTACTAGCGATGGGAATATGTAAAAATCAAAAAGAATATAATAGAATAAATTTACATGTGAGATGATTTATTTTATCTGATGCTATATCGATATAGGATACGATATTAAGAGAAGGGTGATAATGCAAAAAATCTCGAGAATGTTGATAGTTGATCATATGATCTTGAATTTGCACAACTTGAATTCTATTTTTAGCATACATGACACAATTATATGAGAAAACCCTACACTTAACGGTAACAAAAATACATGTAGTACACATACATGTATTAGTACATGTAGCAACGATTCACTACTTAACGTATCTCAATCAGCGCTTACCTTTACGTTAAGTACATTAAATCTTTCGATAAGTTGAATATGCAATTCTTAGGTGAAAAAACGGAGGTTCTATCAACACCTTTAGTTTCCGCCAAAGATATTAGTCAATTTGATGATTCAAAACTCCATGAGGGATTATCAAATATCTTTCAACGAATGATTTCTTCCAAAAACGAAGAATTGAAGGAAATAGTTATAAATATAATATCAATTATCCAAGACATGAATCAAACTGAAATTGATAATAATAGAAAAAAGTCAATATTATCTATTTATAAAGATGAATTACTTGTTGATTTATGTTATCAATATGAAATAATATTAATCAATGAACCAAAACTTATTTATCTAATTTATGAGGAGTTATGTATATCAAAAAATCGGGTTTCAAAAATTATTCTTGCACACTGTCAAGAATTAAAAAAAAATACATCAAAAAAAGATGATGAAATATTTGATTGGCATTTGAAATTAGCTAAAAACGGAGATGCTCAAATACAATATATACTTGGTTTCTGTTATAATGAAGGTATAGGAATTCAAAAAGATGAGAAAAAAGCATTCGAATGGTATTTAAAATCTGCAGAGGGTGGGGATGCAAAAGGACAATCTAATCTTGGTTATTGTTATCAGAATGGTATAGGAACTCAAAAAGATGAGAAAAAAGCGTTCGAGTGGTATTTAAAATCTGCAGAGGGTGGAGATGCGGAAGGCCAATTTAATCTTGGTTATTGTTACGATGAAGGTATAGGAACTCAAAAAGATGAGGAAAAAGCATTCGAATGGTATTTAAAATCAGCACAAGGTGGAGACGTGGGGGGACAATCTAATCTTGGTTATTGTTATCAGAATGGTATAGGAACTCAAAAAGATGAGAAAAAAGCATTCGAGTGGTATTTAAAATCAGCAGAGGGTGGAGATGCGGAAGGCCAATTTAATCTTGGTTATTGTTACAATGAAGGTATAGGAACTCAAAAAGATGAAGAAAAAGCATTTAAGTGGTATTTAAAATCAGCAGAAGGTGGAGACGTTGGGGGACAATCTAATCTTGGTTATTGTTATCGAAATGGTATAGGAACTCAAAAAGACGAGGAAAAAGCATTCGAATGGTATTTAAAATCAGCAGAGGGTGGAGATGTGGGGGGACAATTTAATCTTGGTTATTGTTATCGAAATGGTATAGGAACTCAAAAAGATGAGAAAAAAGCATTCGAATGGTATTTAAAATCTGCAGAGGGTGGAGATACGAAAGGACAATCTAATCTTGGTTATTGTTATCAGAATGGTATAGGAACTCAAAAAGACGAGAGAAAAGCGTTCGAGTGGTATTTAAAACCCGCAGAGTGTGGAGATGCGAAAGGCCAATTTAATCTTGGTTATTGTTACGATGAAGGTATAGGAACTCAAAAAGATGGGAAAAAAGCATTCGAGTGGTATTTAAAATCAGCAGAGGGTGGAGATGCGAAAGGACAATCTAATCTTGGTTATTGTTATCGAAATGGTATAGGAACTCAAAAAGACGAGGAAAAAGCATTCGAGTGGTATTTAAAATCTGCAGAG